ACCTTATTTCGACGTCAGATCGACGTCGAAAATCGACGTTGAATCAACGTTGAATCGACGTAACTTTGCCCGCTGGGTATAGTATCGGCTGGGTATCTTTGGAATGAAGGTATGGAGCTTCACCACCTTCACTAGCGTCTTTTTCAACTTGTCTTTTTTAATTTCCCAAATAAAAAATTCACTACGACTGGCAGGCATATATATATATATATATTGGCGACACCATTGTAAAAAATGTTTAAAATTGCTAGTGCTCTGCATCCCGAAACAGCGGGGATATTGGTAAACTATATATAGACTGTTTTAGAGTTTTATTTTACTAAAGAACACCAAGAAATTTTCATGAAAATTACCACAACCTACGGGTCCCTATTTTTAAACAGAACAGAAATTGAATACAGTGGTCTCCCGCTAACTCGAACTCGCTTAACTCGAACTCCTCGCTAACTCGAACCAAATCCAATTCCCCTTGAATTTGGCAGTTTTTTTATAGTAATTTACTCCGCTTAACTCGAACCCGCTTAACTCGAACTCCTTGCTAATTCGAACAAATTTTGTTTTCCCTTGGTCAAATATATCCGGTTAACTCGAACTTTGGTTTCGAATCATAGATCAGCAACTTTAAAATGTGAGAAGATAGCATTTTGACAACTGAAAACTATCGAAATAACAAAATAATAAGTTAATGAAAATGTATAATTGATTTTAAATTTCAAAAGATTTTCTGTAGTGCCACGGTCGTTATTGATCTAGCCTTTTTAGTTTCTTTTGTATTCTTTCGATCTTTTGAATTTTAAAACGTCGTCCACTTTCGGTGACCATTTATATTGGTAGGCATTATATCTCTTGAAGAATGATTCGATTGGATTTTATACCTTATTATATTACATATAATAAACGTAATCTGACACCAACTCCGGTTAACTCGAACCTCCGGTAACTCGAACAAGTTTTCTTTCCCCTTGGAAGTTCGAGTTAGCGAGGGACTACTGTATATCCGACAAGACGACGCTTGTGTGCACACGCCCTTCGCCCTGGGTGTATGCCATTTGTAAACTGTATAACGTATATAGTAGGTCCTAGTTAGGAATTACTGTTGTAAAAGATTGTGGCTGATACACTTAGTTAACCTTTCATATATATCTAAAGCTCTTTTTAATGAAAATATAATATTTATATAATAAAATGCAGGGACCGGTTGAATAAAAGCCACTTCGCGGATAGCGCTACTGGATAGTGTTTTTTTAACCGTTCTAAAAATGCTCAAAATAATAAAGCGATAAAATTTTATCTTTTAAACCAACAATTATTAAAGAGAATCCTCGATATGGGAATACTAAGATTTGATTGAAAGTTATGGCAAACATGCACTGGGAAGTTTTAAACCACTGCAGTAGTGATTAAATTTATTTCAAGGGCCATGCATGTCGTTGGCGAAAAGAACATTAGAACAAAATTGTGTTAGATCAATATCCAATAATTGGCGTCCACATGCACGCATATAAACCGGCTAAGCTCAGATCGTTATCAGACCGCTTTCTGAAACGGGTTGACTGCATGCATGATATATCGATCTTGAATTGATCTCAAATTTTTAGGATCATTCACACTTAATCGCTTTACGTTGGATAGCGATCTCAGATCCATCTAACCCCTAGTGTTAACAGGCCAGTAGGTTTTGGCACCGTAGATTATGACTGGAAAACTGTTATGGAAATAAGCAACTAAATTTTATTAATACGTGAAACACTGTAAAGGAAAAACTTCAATATATGTATAATAGCTATATATAGTTATTAATTTAATGAATATAAGTACAACACAATTTCTACTCAACTCTTTAAGAATGTTGAACAGGGCAATATATTTCAAGAGCGTTGCAAACTATCCAACGACGACGACTTGGGTATCATTGAAATGACGCTATGGAACTTCACAGACGTCTTTTTCAACTCCCCGGAAACGTTCACTGTCCGCTATACGATTAGCATGCAGTGTGTCCATGGCAACACCATTATAAAAGACACACGTGTACACGTGCATGTTAATGCATGTACAGCAGACGGCGCTTGGCCGCCAACTGTTCACTGGGTATTGTTATTGTATTGTACAGGACACCCTGATGCTATGAATGATCAATGGATTATAACTGTTCAGATGATTACTATATTGTATATACATATCTGCTATCAAAGTTTGTATCATTTTACGGTGCTGTTTACATGAGCCCGGTTACCCGAGATTCAACGAAGCGTCAGAGGACTTTGAGGTATTGAAATAAGTCTTTATGACACCAAACAAGCAACATGCCATTATTATGGTGATTATACGACTTCGAGAATCATGTCATCTGCTCATTTTAATACCTCAAAATCATCTCACGCTTCGTTGCATCTCTGGTAACCGGGCTCATGTAAACAGGCTAATGTAAAAAGGCCGGGTACGGGATATCCTGCATTTTAACCCTGCCGTGCCGAAAAATTGAGTGTTGTGTAAACGGGGTTTTAGTGTTGTGAATAATGGTCATTTAATTATGAATAATGGTTTTACAATATAGCTTGCATTGAACAACAACTATGTATGCATATGCTTATGCTACTTAGTACTTTTGATTACGGTATTGCATTTTCCTGGCGTCGATCATGACCTGACAATCAGTAGAGAGTTAAGTTTTATGTTATAGGTGTGAAACGGTATACAAGAATAATAATAAAAAACAATAAAAGAAATATACAGGAAAATCTACGATACAGGATTTTGCTAAAAGGGAATAAAAGAGCATATGTACTCGAAATACATGCATGCAGCAACCCCTCGCCATTTCAAACGAAGCAAAATATTTCCTGAGTCGTGAAAATATCAAAACAGCCATACTTTTTGATAGTGTTAAATTTAGCAAGGCAACATCTACAAAAAGTTCATCTCATTTATTTGAAATTAGTAACCCAGCTCCAGCATTTGCTCAAACTGTGACAGACAGTGATATCCAAAAACTGAACAAAGAATTAAAAAGTGCTGGATCATGCAGCTATTTACAAAATCTCCTAGAATCAAATGAGTGTAAACCCTTTGATTATGATAATTATCTCAATGAGTTACCGACAAAAAGGAAACTTTATGAAGTTCACTGCCACACCAATCAGCTAAATGCTGTGGAGAGAGATGCAATTTTAAACCAGGTCACAACAGACCAAACTAACTTAAGCAAACACATACCATCCCCAGAATACAATGAATTTGTTTTTGAAACCTTGTACAAATCCAAAGAGCAAATACAAAACATTGAATGCAATACAAGAGGGCAGTCAGATGATGAATTATGGTATCAAGAACGTCACATAAGATTAACAGCATCAAATTTTGGTTCTGTTTTGAAGCGCAGAGAGAGTGTTTACCCAGAAACAATTTTGAGTAAACAATTTAATTCCAATTGCACCAAAAGTGTGCCAAAAGCATGTTTATGGGGTCAAAACAAGGAAGAAATGCCATCAAAGAATACATAGAAAAATGCAACCAAAACAATAATTTGATCAAAGCATGTGCGTCATGTGGCTCCATTGTAAACGGTCAAGTTCCATGGCTTGGTGCTAGTCCTGATTGCTTGCTGTATGATCCTACTGAGTGCACAAATTATGTAATTGGAGAAGTCAAGTGTCCTTTTTCAAAAAAGGAAATGACAATTGATAGTGCATGTGATGACCCTACATTCTTTCTTGAGCACAAATCAAAACCTACATTAGAGAGAAACCATAACTACTTCTATCAAATACAAGGCTTGATACTAGCTACTTGTAATGTTAATGGGCTGATTTGATTGTATATACAGAAAATGACATTTTCAGTGAGCGAATATATTTTGACACTGAATTATGGAATAAAACTATGCTCCCAAAATTAACATCATTTTACTCCACATACATATACCCTAAATTAGTGAACAAATAAACCGTAAAAACTGTAGAACTGTTATTGTTTGTTCATTTACTCCTGTTCAGAATTACAATTGATTAGAGGTGGCTGAAATAGTGTCAAGTAGGAACAGATGACCCAACTCTGATGCCATACTCAAAGGAAACACATTCTTTAAAATCCAAAAACATTTAATTCGTTGAATGGCACGTTCCACATGAATTCTAACTGCGGCTATTTTTCTTGTCTCATTTTCTGCTTGAATAGAGAGCTGCTGATTATTTAGGAAAGGGGGTATGTTCAGTTTTACCCTTTCAGGCATTTCATCCTCTATATCAAAGCCCTTATCTGCCATCAATTCATCACCTGCCTCTAACAAGTTTAAAATACCACAGTCTCTGATGACTTAATTTTTTCGGTTTGTCACTAGAACGACCAGTGTAAAGATCTGAAATAAATGTAGCGTATATCCAGCAGGTGAAATACCAATTAGCCCCTTTGCTGTGTTGTGGTTTTTATATGAGGAATAGGTTGCGGACTGACTACGAAATGATGTGGGCCTTTCTATAAAAAGTTCAGTGCAATCTATGATAACACGTGTATTTGGGTAGGAATCTTTAAAAGCTTTTGGCTAGTGTTTTGAATATATTGACGTGAACGCCAAATAGGTAGAGCTCTTAGCCTGTGATAAAGAAAAACTAGCCAAGTTGTTTCAATTCGAGAATACTAAGCTGGTGAAATGCCAAAGGGATCAAGACAGCAACATCAAGACCCAATAAACTACAGCGTAATCTAACAAAATCATGAATTACTCTTTGTAATGAACTTCCGATTTATGCATGCATTTGTTTTATTATTTAACACTTCCTGTATAGACTTCCGAGTATAAAAACACGTGTAAAGAATTAGTTAGGGGTTAGTTCTTCAAATAAGCAATAAAGTCAAAACCATTACATTGGCGACGAGGATAAAAGGAAAAAAAAGAAAAAGAAGCGAGAGAACATCTCCAAAGTGAGAATATCAGGCTTTTAGCAAACGGTTAATCGTTGAAGCGTTGAAATCGAAGGCGTATTATCAAGAAATCTATTCGTATGGCAACAAATCTCCCGTCGTTTCCAGCATTCGATATCACCCAAGATCAAGGAGCTTTAGGCCCTCGGTGGAAGAAATACATCGCTAGATTTAGAAATCTCGTCGTAGCGCTGAACATTAACGACAAGAAGCGTCAAAGAGCTTTGCTGTTACACTACGCTGGCGAGCATGTTAACGACATTTTTGACACGCTTCCTGACACAACAGCTACTGACGATGAAAACCCATTCGAAAAGGCAGTAGAGGCCCTTACAGCGTACTTCACACCGAAGAAAAACGTAGTATACGAAGAGTATCAGTTCAGGCAAGCCAAACAAGAACAAGGTGAGAAGTTTATGGCATTTTATACTCGCCTGAAGCAACTTTCGCAGACTTGTGAGTTCACTGACCCTGACCGTGAAATAAAGTCTCAATTAATTCAGCAATGCATATCATCAAAGCTGAGACGGAAAGCCCTTAGCGAGCCTGAAATCGCCCTTCAGAGTTTACTTGATTACGGGAAAACTCTAGAACTAACAGAAACTCAAGTTGCAGACTTGGAAAGTCAAACGAGGGAGAAAGCAGAAGACGTGACTAAACTTAGCCAATATAAGAAATCCAATAATCGATGGAAGACTTCGAATCGTGGGTATGCTAAGACCAGAAAGGAGTATAAGAACAGTGGACCCTCTGGATCTAACTCAAATATCTCGAAATGTCGGAATTGTGGTGGAACGTTTCCGCACAAGGGTGGCAAGACCGCTTGTCCAGCGTACCAGAAGGAGTGTCACAACTGTGGCAAGCGTGGTCACTTTATGTCTGTTTGTCGAAGTGAATCGAAGCAAAAATTGCCGTCCAGACAAAGAGAAAGATTAGCAGCTTTTGGCGAACAGCTCAGCGATAGTGAGGATGACGAAAACACGTTTTGGCTGAATGTCCATAGTGTCAGTGGTCAGCGAGAAGCAAAACACCCCATGTTTAGAGTGAACGTTAGAGGCGTATGGTTGACCCTGATGGCTGACTCCGGGTCTAGCATCAATATCCTTGATGAGAATGATTTCGAGAAACTTGGGGACCGTCCTGAACTCGAACAGACCTCTACTCGTGTCTATCCGTATAAGTCGAACAGACCCCTGAAGATGATTGGGCAGTTCGAGACAATCCTGAAAACCGAACGTGGAGCAACGTCGCGAGAAGTCATGTATGTCACACAAGGAGCAGGCGGATCACTTTTGAGTTGGCAAGCGTCTCAAAAACTCGGTTTGATCTCCACTGTACGACCATTGGAAATGAAACGAGTCCCAAGAAAGGGGACCCAGCGTCTGGTAGAAGAGGGAGACCTATTTACTGGCCTTGGAAAGCTGAAAGGTTATCAAGTTCAACTACATATTGATGACAGCATTCAACCCTCCGCCCAACCGCATCGACGCGTTCCATTCCATGTCAGAAAACAACTCGAAGAGCAGCTAGAAGAAGACGAAAAGAACGGTGTCATCGAGCGCGTAGAAGGCCCAACTCCGTGGGTGTCACCAGTAGTCGTAGCGCCAAAGCCTAAACAGCCTGGAAAGATCCGAATGTGTGTCGACATGAGGCAAGCGAACAAGGCCATACAACGTGAGCGTCACATAACACCAACCATTAAAGAAGTGATTGGAGATCTAAACGGAGCGACTGTGTTTAGCAAGCTGGACTTGAATCAAGGCTATAACCAGTTAGAACTTGCGCCTGAATCACGATACATAACGACCTTTAGCACACATGTTGGACTACGAAGATTTACCCGCCTCAATTTCGGAATTTCAAGTGCTGCTGAGATATTTCAGAATGTTATACGTGAAACACTCCGTGGAATACAAGGGGCGATAAACCTCAGTGATGACATCCTTGTCTATGGGAAAACACAAGAGGATCATGATCGAGCCTTAAGAGAAACCTTGCAACGACTTCGGGAAAAAGGAATCACTCTTCATCGAAACAAGTGTGTCTTTTCCAAGGACCGGTTGGAGTTCTTCGGATACATATTTTCCGACAAGGGAGTGGCTGCCGACCCCAAGAAGGTGGAGGCTATTGTTAATCTTCAACCGCCGTCCAATGTTGCAGAAGTACGAAGTCTGCTTGGTATGAGCAATTATTGCTCACGTTTCATTCCCGCGTATGCAACGCTAACGCAACCATTACGAGAGCTCACACAGAAGGATAAGCAATGGGAGTGGACGGAGACCCATGATCGTGCCCTAAACCAGCTCAAGGATGCCCTGGTGAAAGCGCCTGTAACCGCTTACTTCGATCCCGATAAGCCCACCGAGATCAGTGTTGACGCAAGCCCCGTAGGACTTGGTGCGATTCTTATACAGGTTGATCCTGCGACTGGGGAGAAGCATGTAGTTGCGTATGCGAGTAGATCCCTATCATCCGTCGAACAGCGATACAGCCAAACAGAACGAGAAGCACTGGCTGTTGTTTGGGGGTGTGAGTACTTCCATCTATATATATATGGGAAACCAGTAATCGTGGTTACGGATCACAAGCCGCTTCTGGCAATTTACAACAACGCCCGGTCTAAACCGCCAGCGCGAATCGAGAGATGGGCTTTACGCCTACAGCCGTACCAAGTGTCAGTCACTTATGTGAAAGGAGAAGAAAATCCTGCTGACTATATGTCGCGACATCCTGAGAAGGTTATACAGCCCAGCAGTCGCCAGGAACGCGTAGCTGAAGAATTTGTAGATTATATCGCTCACACTTCAACACCCAATGCCTTAAAGCTGGAAGAAATTGCACGAGCCACTTTGCAAGACGCAACTCTTCAAGCTGTCGAGTGTGCTGTTCGTACGAATAACTGGTTTGAACCTGCGAAGAGACTTGACATAAATTATGCAACCTACAAAGCTTTAGAACGAGTTAAAGAAGAGCTGACTATCTCTTCGAAGGCTGGTATCATTCTGAGAAGAACCAGAATTGTTATCCCTGAAGCCATGCAGCAACGCGTAATTGATCTTGCCCATGAGGGTCATCAGGGGATTGCGAAGACAAAGTCCCTATTGCGCGAGAAAGTTTGGTTCGCTGGTATAGATAGTGCAGTCGAAAAGAAAGTCAAATCCTGCCTTGCGTGTCAAGCAAGCACACCTGAAACGAAGCGGGAACCACTTCAAATGTCACCGCTACCCGAAGGACCTTGGAAAGAAGTGAGTGTTGACTTTAAAGAATTGTCCGGGGGAGGATATCTACTCGTCATTTATGATGATTATTCGAGGTATCCAGTCGTGGAAGTGGTAACATCCGTGTCTTCTAAAGTCGTTATCCCACGTTTGAACAAGATTTTCGCAGAGTTTGGTATTCCAGAAACAATGCGTTCGGACAATGGCCCTCCGTTTAACGGGAAAGACTTTGAGAAGTTCGCCCTCACTCTCGGAGTTAAACACCGAAAGGTCATGCCTTTATGGCCACGTGCCAATGGGGAGGTTGAGAGGTTGATTTTGAAGAAAGCCATCGAAGCAGCTAAGGTAGATCAACGCCCATGGAAGGACGAACTTTGTGAGTTTCTTCGTAACTATAGAGCAACACCCCACTCAACGACGGGTAAACCTCCTGCAACTGTTATGTTTGGCCGTCCCGTGCGTGTAAAATTACCTGAAGCACCGCAGAGCAGGAAAGATCCCGCATCCATCCAACGTCGTGACGAACTGGCAAAGAAGAAGATGAAATACTATGCTGATGACAAGTCTAATGCGAAACCCAGAGATTTAACTGAGGGTGATAAGGTTTTGGTCAAGCGTGATCCCTCCTACAAGTCCGGTATTCCTTATGACCCTAAGCCCTACGTGGTGACTCGAAGGAAAGGCACGATGATCACAGCCAAGAGGGAAGGCAAGGACATAACGCGGAATTCTTCCTTCTTTAAACAGGTGCCATTAGCTGATCCCATAACTGTAGAGTCTGATATGGATGACAGTATTTCCCTACCATCACAACTTAACCCTGCGGTAGATCCATCAGATCAGCAGCAACGCCGCTATCCTTTAAGGAGTTCCCGACGACCACCAGCACATCTTAGGGACTATGTTTGACATTGTCAGTTATGTTAAATTGAATTTCATATTATTTATATTATTTATTAGTATTTTATATTATTTATAACATTTTATAGTTATTTAATGAGTTTGTAATATAGTTAGTTAATATCTTTCAACGTAGTTACATTTTGTCCGAAGAGGGGAGAAGTGTAATGAACTTCCGATTTATGCATGCATTTGTTTTATTATTTAACACTTCCTGTATAGACTTCCGAGTATAAAAACACGTGTAAAGAATTAGTTAGGGGTTAGTTCTTCAAATAAGCAATAAAGTCAAAACCATTACACTCTTGTTCAGGTGTTAAGCTCCTTTGTGTACCACGTTTTGCTGGTGTAGAATTTGAAGTTCGCATCACTAGCTATTACATGTTCTAAACGTAGTGCACGTAACTTGTATTTGGTAGATAGCTCATCGTGTTTAGTTTTCAAAGATGCGTTTTCTTTTTTAAGCTGTTCAAGTTCGGATTTTAGTGCAGAAAGTTCACTATTTTCATTTGTTTGTTGCATGTCATGTTTCCCTGCGTGCTGTGTAGTGCTTATTCGCTTCATATTTTCAGTTACATTTCTTCCACTTTTACCACAGCAGCCCGGTCACTGCCGTTACGTCATGCTATTATATATGTATACTAGAAATACATGCATGCAGCAACCCCTCGCCATTTCAAACGAAGCAAAATATTAGCTAGCTGAGCTAGCCAGACCTAACCTTCAATATTATGAAATGTCCTAAATGTAAAGCCGATAGCTGATGTTTCAAATACTTCGGAAACAAGCACAGTCGTAAAGGTGAAGTGAAATCACCCGTTTTCCTGCTGCTTTCCGTTGCATTATTAAAGTTATAGACTTTCACAGTTTAATAAAAGTTAATACCTCATTATAGCTAAACCTTCAAAACATCAAAACAGCCCTAATAATATAAATAACCAAGCAGTGAACGTCGAATGTTGTTTTTCGATTATTAAATTCATGCAGTGATGGCAGTCGACTATATATAAACCTTTAAAGTGATATTTGTTATATTAAAACTCCGAATTACACTTTTAAGGACTCTTTTGGAAGTTAAAACGATGATGTAAAGCCTTAAATAGTCGGTCAGGTCTTCGCAAAACCGAGCAAAACGACATACTGTACCAAGGTCATAAAATGTATTCGTACAGCAAACACGAAATAAACCTCGAAATAAACAAAATAGACTCCTACCATTTCAAGGATTATAATCGAGTTGTTCCTTTTCACCGCTAATTCCTCCAGTTCTGATAATATTTTAAACTCTTCCCAGTGTTTTATCTGTTATTTGATTCCACATTTCATATTTTGTTTTCAAAACATTTTTTTAAAAAATAGTTTACAAAATGACAGTTAAATTGCTGACGTTTTTCACTGAAGCACAAACGTTTCGTCTTAGCCAATCAGGAAGTTGCTGATTACCAGTCTACACTCGTTCGCATTTCGCGCATGCGCACAAGTACCATGACCATTGAACGACCATGACATTTGGGCAACTTTGGATTCCGCTCACTGAGCTATATATAATAGAGAGCTTCAGATTTGACTACGGCTCCCGCTACGGCTACGAGATTCGTCACTGTGGCGCGAAACAAACGTTGTATGCATACGCCACCTCGTACTGGCATGATAAATCTCTGCAAACACAATAATAAACGCATGTTTATCCCGTCAAATATTTCGGGAATTTTACGTAAAATATATATACCCTCACCATTATATATATAGGGTATACCCTCACCATTTCCAAAAATACACGTATTCAAAGGCCACAGTCATGGAAAACATTTCTCTAAATTTTTTTTCTGGAAAAAAACGAAAAAATGTCAACTTTTATTGCTTTTTAAATCACGTAGTGAGGACTACGAAGTTTTGTTAAAATGCCGTAGTCAGATGAGCGAGGGCTACGTGCCTCTGGCGTCAGTACGAAGTATCACGAATATCACGTCAATGTGACGAATCTCGTAGCCGTAGCGGGAGCCGTAGTCAAATCTAAAGCTCTCTAATAATTCCTGGAGGACCGGCTCGCAGCCAAATCGTGTCCGCAAAAACATGGCGGATTTTGAGCTTTGCTGACGCCACAAACAGCTGGGAAATTTGTTGCGCATGCGCTAGTTGGGCTTGCGAGTACACCACGAATATATTTCGCGCGGTACACGGCGGGACCTTTAAATTTATAAACAAAACATGGCAGCCAACTTTTTTTCGGTGTTTTGTGTACTTTGCTTGTTTTTAATGCTGTCTCTGCGCTCCCGAATAAAAACGGAATTTATTGTGCCGTGTGCGGCAAATGCTGCAAAAAAAACTTAAATTCTATAAGAAGTAGCCCTACGGAAAGCACTCTTTTGGAGAGTTGCTTCGGTATTTCGCCCGACGACGACGGCACCGACACAGGAGTTATATGTTCGACATGTCGAAGAGCTTTGTATATATTCAAAACCACCGGGAAAACGGCTTTTCATGTATGTTTTGTTAAATTTCTAACATAAAGCCAGGTAACATGTCAGTGCAATTTGTTATGGTTTATCATGCTAGTTGTTAAAGTCAAATAAGAAAGATAAAGTGGGAAGACCAAAGAAAGTACAAAAACAAAAAACTGTGCCGACCAGAACAAATAAGAATGACGAATGGACGACAGAAGACACATGTTTCGGTGCTATTCAAAGAGGGGCCAGTGGAGAGGTGATTATGCCAGGAGAAATGTATGAAGATATTCTGGGACAGTTCAACTCACTCTCTGAAAGTATGTCTCTGCCAAAATCTTTACTGTTAATTATTTTTAGTGTACAAATTAACAACAAATAAGCAAGTCAGTGTTTACTTGCAGGGTGTGACCTGAAATTAGAGCTGGAGAGGATTTGTTCTTGAAAAACAACCAGCAATATATCAGCCTAGCGAATTCATTGAATTCTGTTCTCGGGCAGGTGCTCCAAATGTATTCAAAAATATTTTGAAAGCAATATCAGATGACCGTCACTCCCATAGGCGCCAGGAACTGAACCGAGTACGAACAGTGTCCATAATTTACACCATGTGCTACTGTCGCAGCCAAATGTGCAATGTCATGCAAGTAGATCATGCACTCTATTTGACTATTAACTCCAACAGGGTGACTCAAGAAGGCATAGATACACAGCATAGGATGGGACATACATGCAGTCACAAAACTTCCAACATAATTCGCAGTCAACTGTCCCGCAATCATGCTGAAAGTCTGAATAGTTTCTTTGATCAAGCAATCCAAAATGAATGGGTCTTGGTACTGATAATCGACGACTTTACTAAAGTTCACACCTATCGAAGACCATCCACTTCAAGAACTTGCAATCCAATGAGCATGTGTACAATTGTAGTTAAGGCATTCAAGCAGTTAAAGGCAATAAAGGCACCAGCAAATATTTCCAAAATCCATTGTCCAGAAGGTGTTAACATCAAAGCTTGTGTGGATGCCATAACCTCTTCTCAGCAGTTGACAATGCTGGGTAGCAGCTATGCCTCAACTATGCCCAATTCGTTGACCTCATTGTTTTTCACTCCTGATCTTCAAAGACACATTCTCGAAGAGAATGGCTACAGTGATGAGTCTGGAGTTCGATTGATGAGAACAATGGATGATTTGCATCTAATTGACTTTGTAGAGTTACAGTTAAAATCAAAGGATGGTTTTTCGCAAGCATACAAGATAGCTATGCCATCAGGTTTATCAGCTTACTTGAAGAAGTTTATAATCATTCAACCAGGTGATTGGCCATGCCAATTCTATTGTAGACAGCTTGTATATGAATCACTCTCTCATTGTCAAGAACCAACCGAGTACCAGGAGCATGATTCTTCAACCAGCACCGTTGAAATTCCAGCTATAACATCCCTTATTCCAACCATGGGTCCATTGCACATATCATTAAACAGCAGAGAAGACATCTTTGAATCATTTAAACCATTTTTCAACCAAGTTTATAATCATTTGTTTCCAAATAGTAAGATGCCAAAGTCGCCCAAGCCCTGGAAGATAAATCTCATATTAGAAACAGTTTATGGTGGATGGACATTGATTCGAGAACAAGTGGCAACAAAATTTCAATATTCAAAGGACATACAATATGGGGCATTGCTGAATTTGTTGGACAACTATTTACCATTAGTTTTAACAATTTATTCCATCACTTTTAAAAGGAACAAATTTAGTGAATATTATAATGCAATGATCCGGATATGGGTGATGTTCTTATGCCTGAAGCGTCGCCACTATAATAAAGCTCCCCTTGTGTGGCTTTCAAATATCTCACATTGGAAAAGCAAGTTCAGTGCACTTTATGAACAATTTTCTACATGGCCGACAATTTTTGACGAATATCCAGTGGAAAATACCCACAGTATCATCAGAGCCCAAACTCAGCCAACAGACACTGCAGAGAAACTTCAACAAAGAGCAAAAAGTATCTTTCAATCCAAGACCAAACAGGCTAATTTTAGATCTAATTTTACTCCTCCAAAACAATTCAATTACTCACAGCAGCAACTTAAATACTTGAAGGTCAAGTGTGCTGAATTTTTGACAAACATTTTTATTGCAGTGAACAATCACATTGGCTGTGGTGCCAGTTTTATCAAAAGAAAAGTAAAATATGTCTACTTACCAGACATTTTTGGACCAGATAAGGTTAAATACACTACTCTTCCTCTTGGCTTCAGCAGCAGTCAGGAACCAAACCAAGATTGCATATGCGACCTTCACTCATGCACCATCAACCATAGTGATGAACCATGGAAACTTTTTCAAGGGTGTTGGCATTCCTTTCATGTAAAATGTCTCAATGGTTCTGATTTCTGTCCAATTTGTCATGGATACCTGCAAGATAAAGTAAAGGAGCTTGGTAGTATTGCCAAAGATGCCATTTTAAATCAGAAGATAAACTCAGTGTCACTTGATGTAGATCCTGACAAAGAACCTGATGATGAACCTGATAATATGGAAATTATGCCATTGGTTAATGTTGACCAACAAGGAATAGACAAATCAATAAAGGAATTGAGTGTCAGAATTGAAAATTTGCAATCAGCACCAAAGCCTGCTAATCACCATCCACAACAAGCACCAGCAACACCAGTAAAACCTGATGCCACTAAAAATAATCAGCACAACAAGCGGAAACCACTTCATGACATTCAGAATTTAGATCATGTTGTTCAACAACAACAACAACAACAACAACAACTACAACAACAACAACAAATACCAAAAAGCACTAATAGAATGATTGAATGGTTGTTCCCTGCAAATATCTGCCAAACCCGAGTAGGTGGAAGACCAATGGCAAGTAATGCTTGCACAATTATTGCTTCACTGTGGTGCCGAAAGTTTCTGCTAAAAAAGATTGCCTTCCCATCCAATGAAAGTGACATTAGAGCTTTTACAAACAGCTACAAAGGTACTATTGTAAATGGGAACTTGTTGTATCAGGGTTTGAATCTACCTGCTGACCAACCTAATTTGGAAGTCCGAGATGTTGTGAATAGGATTAAAGATTTACGACTAAACATTCTGCAAGACTTGGGATTCTTTAATGTGAATGAGCTTAAAGAAACATTCGTTCAAATGCTTCAAGAAGGCAAACGACGTGCTGGTGTTTTGATTATGCCCCCAGCTAGTTCAGTGGCTATAATCATGGAAAATGGCAACCTAGCAGGGTCGAAACTAGAACGATAATTGGGGGGGTGTTTATTCATATATTCAGTTCTGCCCGACGGATTTCCATTGTGAGCTTTTGCACTTACAAAAGAAATCCGCAGGGCAGAACTGAATATATGAATAAACACCCGGCTAAATTGCAGAATACCCGTCCACTAGTCATGGAAATGATGTAGCCACTATTTCACTGGATACGCGGATACGCAGTCGAAAATTGTAAAGCAATGAATAGGTCAGCGGTAACTCGTTTTTTTATGATGGGTACTTCATTCTTCCACAGATATATAGAACTAAAACATTTACTGCATAAGTTTATGCAAATGTAGCAGAATACCCCGCAATTTTTTAAGGGACGCGGTAATACAGCATAAGAAATACATGACGTAATATAAATGTAGGTATTAGTTTAAGTGGATACACGGATACGTGGATACGCAGTCGGTTAATATTCTAAAGTTCATCGACCTTAAATCAAAGACGCTCGGTCGAGCATGCCGATTCCTAGTAAAACTTGGGGAATGTCAACAGATAAACAAATTGTGAATGATCATCACAAGACAATAACAATATTAAAGTTTCTATGTATATAATATGCGCTTTCTAGTCTTAACTTCATATAATAATACCAAATTATGAGGTAGTATAAATATATTAAATTGTAACACTGTCAGTTTTGTAAATTATTGGCTACTCACTATTCCAATCTATTCCAGAAAAAACAGTAAGGATATCAATAAATTATGTTTATCATTCATTTCAATACAGTTATTTCATGCCTGCAATGCGCGGTCACTGCCATCCAAGAAAACGTATTTATTAAAATTCATGTCAAAATAAAACCATTTCTTCGAATGGCTAGTCCACTGAAATAAAATCCACTTAATTTGATTAAGCCGGCGAACGGTCTTGTTTTGCTCCCAATAACACGATGTCATTATCCATTCTGCAGCGAAACAAGGTGGACACCCATTTCCCACAAGAAACAGTAATAACTTAAAACATTCCACGTCGCAAATAGGTTTTTTCCAAAATATTAATTTCATGTCTTGCGGCCACAAAGCCAGCGAATAGAAAATATCGCCGTCTATAAGCTTCAGTAGAGTATGTCTTCTCTCTGATATTGCCTTCGCTGTCGCGCCGCCCACGAAGTCTTTGAACTTGAAAATATCAAAATCCATTTCACTAAATCTACTTAAAAAAGTTTGAAAAACTTCCAGGTCGTTAATTCAAATACTTTGTTTGTGAAGCGGGATCATTTAATTAACACGTTCACAGAAGTGGCAATCACATCAACCGAAACTTCTCCACTTGCCTGTTCCTCAAATTACAAACGACCGCATACCACACGTATCCGCGTATCCACATAAACTAATGCATACATTTATATTACGTCATGTATTTCTTATGCCCTTACTATCATATGCCTCGTTCTTTAAAATATTAACCGACTGCGTATCAACGTATCCGCGTTTCCACTTAAACTAATACCTACTTTTATATTCGCAGTCTTAAATTTATAAATGATCGTGATCACAAACGGTTTGCGGAAATTTGCATATAAGCTTCAGTATCAGTATGAATAAAATCTAAACTTTCACTAGTTTTAAATAGAAACTATATACTGAAGCAAAATCAACTGAAAATCTCTTTGAATCTACAATGTCTGTAGTCATGCATGCACGTGCACAAATTTTAGATATTCTCATAACTAACTGTTATTTCAATTTGCGATTTTTTTATTCAGAATATATGCATAATATACTTGTTATAGAAGGGGAATAATGACATTTATATATTTTCAAACATTATAGTACTTAGCTATTTACATAATTACAGTATGGATACACTTTAAAAATTTCCATACATCTTTTTAACGTCTACAAGAAATCTTAAAAATAGGTCACTTCCTTTGTGTTCATAACGCCACAAGAACTCTGCCAAGTGGGACGAAAACATGTATTTTCGTGTGCCAAAGTCAGGCATCTTTGTCTTTGCTTGTCGCCAATGACCTTCTATCTTGTTTGTATGATCGCCATCAGTGTTAACAAACTCTTTTGAGTGATTAACACACTTATGAACATATCCATGCTTCTTCAGGTTCACATACGCTTTCCAGCAGTCTGAGACTATCGTGCTACCTTCGGCTATGTGACGCTTTATTAATGGCAACAAGGTCTCCTCGTCACGTTTCTCAACGGCTACCATAAAACTTCTTCGAGATTCTTCTTCGATTCCCCCAAATACCCATTGCCCTTCAACTTTATGTCCTCGATGGTATTTTCTTTTTCCAAACTTGCTTTCGTCGATTTGAACAGTCTTTCCTGGTCCGCCGATCTTTTCTTCTCTCTCTAGAAGTGTGACTTCGCAAATCTCTCGGCAAAAGCTATCCCAATCTACTGCCGTATGTTCGCTTATGTTGACTTCGTGCCGAATGTTCTCCTGGCTTACCCCTCTGCACCACCAGTATGTTAATTTCACAATTTCTGCAAGGGTCAGGTTGCTTTCCTCGAACCAACTGTCTTTTCGAATCGACATTTCAACCCTGTGTCGCTTCCCGTCAATTTGCCTCCTGCATTCCCACTTTAAACCGTCCGATCTGTCATTTGCGTTTACTAATTTCATCATCTCATTGCAATGTCCGCATTTTCGACTCCCGGCTATTAACTTCTCATCCATAAGCCAGCCAATCAGTTTATCCTTATTACACAAGATTTCTTCTTTGAGACGGTCATAAGTCCACTTATTATTTGTTTTGTTCCCGGTATTTCTCGTAGCTTTTGCCCTCGCCAAGGTGTTGTGTAGCAGCATCTTGTTTTGCAAACGTAGTCCACTCGGTCTGTGATTGTGAACTCGTTCTATTCGTTTTCTGCCTTCTTGCACACACTTGTATTGCCTTATCCATGGATGTGCTTAATTTTTTCGCTGCTTGATCTAAATGTTGTCGTTTCGCTTCGAGTTTGGCGTCCGAATGCTTTCAAAATGCAAGTTATCAAAATTTAAAGCGTCAGTTTACAAGGTATCCGTTTACAACTGATGCACTACACCTACCATGCTCTGATCAATCAGTTTCGTTAAATTTGCGTAATTTCTCATTATTAAGTCGCTCGTATTTTTCTTTTTCACTAAAACTAGACATGATTGCAGAAACCCCAATGCGTGTGGTTAATTAGATAGGTTTAGAGTAGGGTCAAAGTAAACAAAACAATTAAGGAGTTATGGTTGACCCGGATAAAACGTATCATCTCAAACCATTAAGCGGCCAAAATCGTCACACCGGTCAAATTTTTATTTCATGCGTATAAAAGAAGCGCACATATAACCACTTTTTAACAATTCCATTCCATCGATTTGCAATAGTTGCTTACCCTATTGTTTACAAGAAGTGGGACACTTTGTGATTATTTAACGTCGTCTATATCAATTGTATTTTAAACTATATGCATTGTTCTAATATAGCTTAGATTTTCTCTTTTCAATGTAACTTGCATTTTTCAGCTTGTCTCTGCAGACCGTCATTCAAGTATTATTAATTACTAAATAAGCCGGTAGCTACACCACGTAAGTGTTAAATACTGCAAAGCCCTCATCAGTGTAATAGGAAGCCCAAATGATGAAGGCCCGGTTTAACGGACTCAAAGCTTTGCAGTATTTACGTGGTGTACCTATACAAGCTAATTTACTTATTTTGCAAACTCACAAGAATATCATTTTTAATTATACTATTACTATTCATCTGCGATATTATGTCATCATAGTGTTGCATCAAAATTAAACACAAAGGAATTATCATGTTTCTCAAACTTGACAAAATTCTTCATCCGCGCCTTCAGCCGCTATTGCCGATTTGCCGCCCCCAGGTGTTAATACCAGGCCAGCCGCGGCTGAAGTAATTGTCTTCAAACGTTAACACCTATACAGGCTAATTTACTTATTAATGTCACCGTGCAAACTCACAAAAATATCATTTTTAATTATACTATTACTATATTCATCTGCGATATTATGTCATCATAGTGTTGCATCAAAATTAAACACAAAGGAATTATCATGTTTCTCAAACTTGACAAAATTCTTCATCCGCGCCTTCAGCCGCTATTGCCGATTTGCCGCCCCCAGGTGTTAATACCATGCAGCCGCGGCTGAAGTAAGTGTCTTCAAACGTTTCCGTTTTTGAATGTTTGCCCGACATATATTCGTTTTCATTGATGTTTTTTTAATAGCCCCTTCAAATTGATGCGTTTTTCTTACACTTAGCGTAATCGTTCATTTTCAAACGATTACGCAAATAACGATGAACGCATTGAGATGCATTTCACACCTCTTGTGTGGCTCTTCACATGCAGTTATCCCATTAAATTCAATACACTATATATGTCTATTCACGTTTTTCTTAATTATGATTAACAATGTTACAACACAACGTTCAATTTCGAGTAACAATATTTCTTAATGCTGTGTGTGGCTGAAAAGTCTATTTTTCTTAGCGACGCTAATTACTCATAATCTGTCAAACACCGATGCCGCTTAGGTGGAACATTACACCGTTATACTACACCATGACGGTGCCGCTCCATGCACATAAAATGCGCAAGCAAGACGTGTTTGGTCACTTTGTTTTTACAACCGAACTCTACCCGCGATATCAGAAAATCGAAATGGCAACCTCGAATCCCATCACGAAAATCGGACGTCAGCATGAAAAGACATGGTCCCGTCTTCAGAAAAGATTGTCCGACTGTACCTTCGATTACTCCAGAATCATGCCGGATAATATAATCACTTTCCTGATCCATAAGGCCACAAGTGTCAACAGCTGCCTCGGCTATCTCCTACCGACGATCCTTGCCACTGTCTCCTACCTATTGAGCAGAGCAAAAGTTACCGTTTCAACAGTGAATCGCGATCAATCCACAAGCCTTTACACGATATTCGTCGGCTACCCTGGCACCGGGAAATCTCCTGCTATTGAACATGGCTGTATCAAGCCACTTCAAAGTGTCCTGCGAGACGACGTTAAAAACGGCCTTCTTGACCGAACAACTTCCTCCGGTTTGATCAAACATCTCTCCGTTCACGGGACTGGATTTATCGTTTCTCCTGAGGTTTCTGATGTTTTAAATAAACTCTTGAAATCGGACGAGGAAACCTGTTCAGGAGACGCTATGGTGCTGTGCAAACTTTTCTCGGGCGAACGAATTTCGTTTCATTATGCGACTGAAAATACGAGAGAGATCGACGCAAACACACCCTTTTCCATCCTTGGTTCAACTCAAATGCCTAACGCTGCAAAACTTATTGCCAAGATGGACAAAGGTCAAGGATTACTGGATCGCTTTTTGATTTCGGTTCCAAGCGCACGGTGCCCAAAATCAAAAGAAATTGAACAATCGCTTCAATACCTATCCACCGAGTGTATTGACGACTTTGACAACATTTATCGCTTGATCACCCAGTTTCATACGGATAATGTTGTTAAATACACGTTTGATGACGAGGCTGAAGACGCGATGAGAAACGAACGGGATGCCTTCATCAGTGACATCAACGATGCCATTGCCGACGGCGAAACAACACCTCCCAAGTCTAAGAAATTGGACCTGTTACCGAGAATGGCCGCAACCCTCCATGTTTTACAACATGCTATGGAATGTGCCTTAGCCGCTCAAGAAGACATGTCAACAATCCCTACGACCATACCTAAAGAGACGTTCGAGAAAGCGAAATTGTACGTGGATCATGTTGAGAATCAAAAACACATGCTGTGTGAGGTTAGTAACATATTGTGCCCACAAAATTTTCATACGGCTTTCATAACATATCTTGCGATTATCGTCTCTACACTAATCATAATATATTTATGTATATAAATTGATGGACAGATATATAGCGACCGTTCCCTTCCAAAACTCCCTATATAGGTTATATGTTTAACCTTCCGATATCTATAACTGCACTGTTTAACAATAATCTCAAATGCAAAATTGCTGTTTTTTAAAACGTTTCAGTTCATCAAGTCCATAACTAATGACACCTGTGATGAAGAAAGACCACAGCCGAACGCGGGGAACATTAAGTCGGGAATATTGATATTTCCAGGCCCTGTTGTTACGTACAGGGCTTTCGTTCAAAGCGGCCCCCGTTTGACTAGGGGAATATCGAACGAAGAATTCGTTAATGCGACAGAGCAGCTAAAGGAAGATTATGGCCACACCATTAATGTCAGAGTTGCTAGGTCATCAAAAACGGCGAGTCTGTTTGTCAAGAAAGCACCAAATCAATTCGAAGAATGGCCCAGTGAAATTTTGTGCAAAAGAGAAGAATACGAAAACAGCTACCATCGACCATGTCACAAGGCTATATCGCCAAGCATACGTAGATTGCTTCGCCAACAAAACATTTTGACCGAGGAACAACTGAACATGTAGATTTGGAAAATGTGCGCATAGATGTGTGCTAAGACATTAACATAAATTTTTTAGCTAGTTAGAAACATTAAAAATATTTTCATTACATATATTCGTCAGTTACTTGTTGTCACCTTGACCTGATATTATATTATTACATTAAACATTTTAAATTGGTTGATGAACAATTTGTTGCTATTATTTATAACAAAATTATCGGCTACTCATTATTCTAATCTATTTCAGTTATCAGTCATTTGAATAGAGCCACTTCATGCATGCTTGCGATCACTGCCGTCCAAGAAAACATATTTATTGAAGTTAATGTCAACTGAATAAAACTATTTTTTCGAATAGCTGTCACAATTCAAAAAATCCATCCTCACAAAACTAACACCTACATTTATCTTACATCATACATTTCTCCTGTCTTATTAACTTATGCCTCGTTCTTTAAAATCTTAAACGACTGCGTATCCACGTATCCGCGTATCCACTAAAAATAAAACTGACCTCTAGCTTGAGAATCTGATCTCTTTAAACTAACTGTATGCATCGTTCTTTAAAATCTTAAACGACTGCGTATCCACGTATCCGCGTATCCACTAAAAAAAAAGCCTCATCTAGCTTGAGAACCTGATCTCTTTAAACTAACTGTATGCATCGTTCTTTAAAATCTTAAACGACTGCGTATCCACGTATCCGCGTATCCACTAAAAAATAAAACTACCTCTAGCTTGAGAATCTGATCTCTTTAAACTAACTGTATGCATCGTTCTTTAAAATCTTAAACGACTGCGTATCCACGTATCCGCGTATCCACTAAAAAATAAAGCCTCATCTAGCTTGAGAACCTGATCTCTTAAACTAACTGTATGCCTCGTTCTTTAAAATCTTAAACGACTGCGTATCCACGTATCCGCGTATCCAATAAAAAAAAAGCCTCATCTAGCTTGAGAACCTGATCTCTTTAAACTAACTGTATGCCTCGTTCTTTAAAATCTTAAACGACTGCGTATCCACGTATCCGCGTATCCAATAAAAAATAAAGCCTCATCTAGCTTGAGAACCTGATCTCTTTAAACTAACTGTATGCCTCGTTCTTTAAAATCTTAAACGACTGCGTATCCACGTATCCGCGTATCCAATAAAAAATAAAGCCTCATCTAGCTTGAGAACCTGATCTCTTAAAACAAACTGTATGCATCGTTCTTTAAAATCTTAAACGACTGCGTATCCACGTATCCGCGTATCCACTAAAAAATAAAGCTACCTCTAGCTTGAGAATCTGATCTCTTTAAACTAACTGTATGCATCGTTCTTTAAAATCTTAAACGACTGCGTATCCACGTATCCGCGTATCCACTAAAAAATAAAGCCTCATCTAGCTTGAGAATCTGATCTCTTTAAACTAACTGTATGCCTCGTTCTTTAAAATCTTAAACGACTGCGTATCCACGTATCCGCGTATCCACTAAAAAATAAAGCCTCATCTAGCTTGAGAATCTGATCTCTTTAAAACTAACTGTATGCATCGTTCTTTAAAATCTTAAACGACTGCGTATCCACGTATCCGCGTATCCACTAAAAAATAAAGCCTCATCTAGCTTGAGAACTGATCTCTTTAAACTAACTGTATGCATCGTTCTTTAAAATCTTAAACGACTGCGTATCCACGTATCCGCGTATCCACTAAAAATAAAGCCTCATCTAGCTTGAGAACCTGATCTCTTTAAACTAACTGTATGCATCGTTCTTTAAAATCTTAAACGACTGCGTATCCACGTATCCGCGTATCCACTAAAAATAAAGCTACCTCTAGCTTGAGAATCTGATCTCTTTAAACTAACTGTATGCATCGTTCTTTAAAATCTTAAACGACTGCGTATCCACGTATCCGCGTATCCACTAAAAAATAAAGCCTCATCTAGCTTGAGAATCTGATCTCTTTAAACTAACTGTATGCCTCGTTCTTTAAAATCTTAAACGACTGCGTATCCACGTATCCGCGTATCCACTAAAAAATAAAGCCTCATCTAGCTTGAGAATCTGATCTCTTAAAACTAACTGTATGCCTCGTTCTTTAAAATCTTAAACGACTGCGTATCCACGTATCCGCGTATCCACTAAAAAATAAAGCCTCATCTAGCTTGAGAACCTGATCTCTTAAAACAAACTGTATGCATCGTTCTTTAAAATCTTAAACGACTGCGTATCCACGTATCCGCGTATCCACTAAAAAATAAAGCCTCATCTAGCTTGAGAATCTGATCTCTTTAAACTAACTGTATGCCTCGTTCTTTAAAATCTTAAACGACTGCTTATCCACGTATCCGCGTATCCACTAAAAAAATAAAGCCTCATCTAGCTTGAGAACCTGATCTCTTTAAACCAACTGTATGCATCGTTCTTTAAAATCTTAAACGACTGCGTATCCACGTATCCGTGATATTTAAAAAGCGTGGCTTGAAAAATTGCGGGGTATTCTGCAATCGCTCCAAACACCCCCCCAATTATCGTTCTAGTTTCGGCCCTGCAACCTAGCTGTGTTTGACAGCCATCAGCATGGCGGACGAGGTAGCCTGGTTCTTGTCTGCAAGCTTGGAGAAATAGATGATCTTTTGAACTATATCGAAAAAACTCAAAAGTTGTGTGGCAGCAACTTTGCAGAACTTGCCACAATTGAGTGACTATAAGGAATACCTTGATCTCATCAAAAATGAAAAATTGTATGCTGATATGTTGCCTGACCCACATACAACCCTTATTCTAAACATTCTAGCATGGCTAGTACCTTTGTTCTGCTGTTCCAAAGAAAACATGGCAGGGTATTCTACTGTACATAATATTGAATTCACTAAGAATTTTACAGTGTTATTGAATAAAAATTTCCTAATTTAACTTTTATGCTAAATAGTATATACTTATATTAATATTATATACTTATAAGATTAAAATAATAAATAACCATTTGCAAGCAGTGGGGAAACGGTGAAACTCTTTGAATGAATCGCGCCTTATACAGGGACCAATATGGTAAAAGATGTCAATTTCAGCCGTGGAGAATTCGTAGTTCTTTTATAGGCACTATTCGAACTGTTTACCCAAGACAAGTTATGACAGCGCGCGTTTCAGGCGAAATTACACTTATAGGGGCAATTTATAATTAAAAACAATTATGAAATTTTTCTTTCTACACCTCCAGAGTGTTCAAAAGTACGATTAGAATTTTGGAGATTTCGGCTAATTTTCTTTTAATCTGGTCGAGTAGGGACTTGGCGTAAATACAGAATGGGGCGGAAAAATACAAGGAGATATTTTTAGAATATTTCTTGCTCGAGGGAACGTAACGGGGCTGACTTTTCTGTACAACAATTATTAAATTGGTGCCAAGGAATATAGCAAAAGATGTTCGCAGTTGTTCCAATAGTTTCACGATTTTTTAGCCAAACACACCAGGCAGGAAAAGCACGCAAATACCCAATATATCAAGTACAATCCACGATTTCATTAGGAAGGGCAATTTTCATATCCACAAAATGCTGTTCATCTTAAACAACAAACGATGTGGATGCCAAATATAGTGCAAAAAGTTTGGAGATTTCGTTGAGATTTCGAGCTATCCGGCTTGCTCGGTAAATACCCGTGACTCAGGTTCACAAACTCCACAGGTGCTTAGGCATATGGAAATTTTCGATTCCCGTGAAAATGCGGAATTATCTGGGAAAATATCGACGAGAAGCGACACTAAAGGTTGCAAAAGTTGACATACTTATCCTAACAGAAACGTTCTGTAATAATAAGAGGCCGGATTCGTTTTATCAAATACAAGGGTATGACCTGTTCCGAAAGGACAGAGATGGAAAAAAAGGTGGTGGAATTATTGCGTATGTAAATAACAGAATCCACGCGAAACTTCGGCCTGACTTGATGGAAAGTAATATAGAAATACTCTGGATCGAAGTATGTCCGTTCAAGTCGCAACGCTCAATTTTGATTGCTGGCATTTACAGACCACCATCAGCGAAAGTTTAAGACGATGGTAACATCGGGAAAAATATTGAAAATGTCTATTTGCTGAATAAGGAAATAATATTACTAGGAGATTTTAATATCGACTTTCTAAATACTAATATATTCAATCAGCATAAGCTTGTGAAAAAATTGAAAAATTTGCATTTTACACAGATTGTTAAAGAAATTACGAGACCGATTTCGGAAACGTGTCTGGATCACATATGGTCAAATCACCCTGAAAGACTGACCAGTGCTAAAATCAAGGACATTGCTCTATCGGATCATCTACCAGTGTTTTCGTTGCGATCGTATAGGGGCGAAGGGGTTCGGGAAATAAAACACAATAATACATTTGTGTACAGAGATTTTAAACGGCTCGATGAAAGAAAATTTATTAGAGAATTAAATGAGGCCCCTTGGGACACTGCGTTTGTATTCGATGACACAGAGGATATTGTAGACAGCTGGTATAACATTTTTAATGATGTTATTGATATTAATCTGCCAGTAAAACGGAAAAAAGTTAAACGCAGTGCTCAACCCGAGTGGTTCACAAGAACAATTAGTGACACTATAAGAAAACGGGATTTATTGTTAAAGAAAGCAAAAAAGTCGACGCATCAGGATGATTGGTAAATATTTAAACGAACAAAAAATCGGGTCTGTAATTTAATTAGGAAGGCTAAAGAAAGTTATTTTAAAAATAAGTTTGTTGAAAATAAACATAATCCAAAGAAACTTTGGGGCTTAATCAGGAACTTAACCAGAGCGGATCTCAACAAACACTCTGGAGTAAATCAGCTGAAAGAGGGAGAAAACATCATCACAGATGAACGAAGCATTGCAGAACTGTTTAATGAGTTTTTTGTGGATCAACCTTTGAAGCTACTAAAGGGCTTGTCAGAAAGTATACAATCGGTACTCTCGTTACAGCACATAAAACATCGACAGCCGAGTAAAACTTTTTCCATCAAGTATATTACGCCACAAGATATAATGGAACA